AGGAAGCGTGTGCTCGGGTTGGGGAAGGCTCAGGCTGTGATCCATAGAGAGAGACTCACACTGAGGGCTTTTATCTGGAGGCCTTAGAGCACAGTCCTAATAGAACATTCATCGGTTTTCCAGCTGTGCCCCCTCGTGGTATCCATTGTTTGGTCAGCACCAGGGTGTCATTAATCAATGCAGCTGGTCCTGATGTCAGCCATGGTTTCTGCCTGGTTTTGCTGCTTCTCTGAGCCTGGAGCTAAAACACATCTGAAGCCTAGATGCCATCTCCAGGGGTTAATGCTTAAGGGAGTGGTTGTGCAAGGGTTTATAGTTTTGGCCTTTGCTGGGCACCCAGGCTCTCCACCCTGGTGACCCTTTGCATATGGCCCATCTTTCCTGTTCTGCTTCTGCCTTTCTAACTGCCTACTACACTTTCCCAGCTTAACAAGTATTAGTAATAAATTATTTGCAACAAACTTCACAAATGACTTCCAAAACCAGGTGTGTCACCACTAAAAAATACTGCTCTGGATGATAAGGGCAGTGTTGAATGCTTTCTGTGACTGGAATGTTCTTGGCACTTTTTATACATTTTTTCACTGCATCCCAGATCCCACAGTTTTATTTACTGAACTAACCCAATGGTTTTCCAACTTTATCATGCATCAGAATTACCTGGAGGACTTGTTAAGACATAGCTTACTGGGCCCAATTCCCAGAGTTTCTGATTCAGTAAGTCTGGGTGGGGACTGAGAATTTCTATTTCCAACAAGTTCCCAGGAACCACACTTTGAGAATTGTTGATGGAGTCATCCATTCAAAAATTATTTTTCAAAAGCCTACCAGGTGCCTGACACTAAAGTAAAAAGATAAATTAAACATTCTAATATAAAAGCTAATGTCTACTGAGCATTCTGCTAAGGGCTTTGCTATGACCTGATTTACTCCTTCATGACAATTCTAGAAAGTAGGTATCTTTCCTCCCATTTTACAGAAGAAAATATCGCAACTGTAAGAGATTAAGTAACCTGCTCAAAGTCATATGGGCAGCTTTCTGAACTAGAATTTGAACACATGTCTATTGGATGCCAAGTGGTACCAGAAGACAGCATGCTATAGGCTATGCTATCCCTGTAACACTGAGGAGCTTAAACACAGTATTATTGTCAGTGTTTTGCAGATTTAAAACAAAAAAACTGATGTTCAGAGAGGTTAAATTACTTGCCCAAAGTTACACAGTTAGGAAGTATCTGAAACAAAATATAATGTCAGTTTGTCTGGTGCCAAAGTGCTTTTTCCACCATAAACACCATTTCTCCTTGATCTGTCCCTAGACCAAGATCAGTCTTAATCAGAGCCAGGAAAATAATATGATCCCCAGGTAACCAAAGTGAGCAGAGAACAGGCAGTTCTGTCTAATGTCTTGGTTANCATAAACACCATTTCTCCTTGATCTGTCTCTAGACCAAGATCAGTCTTAATCAGAGCCAGGAAAATAATATGATCCCCGGGTAACCAAAGTGAGCAGAGAACAGGCAGTTCTGTCTAATGTCTTGGTTAACTGAGAGATATCTCTTGTGTTAGCTTTCTTTCTAACAGTTATCAGTTCACTTTCCACCCTGTCCGCACAGTGTAAAGTAATGTTTCCCAGATGATTCAGGATCATCACACCCACAACCATCATTATGACCAGCATTCGTTACTGAGAAATACGAAAGTGGGTGCAGACGATTGGACTGAATGTGTAGGGAGCCCAGAATTACTGCGGACAAATTCAATTCTATTCTAATCACTTACTTTTTCTGGAATCGGAATGGGAAAAGGCCCCCAAACTGAGGCTAATCAAATGATTCGGTTTAGCTGGGTTCTAATTAATCAAGTTTACCCCAATTTTTGTTTCAGTAGCTGTCAAAATTCGTGAAAAGTGACTGCTTATCTCCTTTTGTGACTTGGTAAATTGCAACGACTAAAGCTTTCCCTGACTCCTGTGTGCTGTTGTGCTGCCCCGTCATCAGGAGAGGAATGGGCTGTATAATTAGCTTTTGAGACATGAATCATCCCTGCTCGGAGGGTCCAGACCTGTTTGACTCTATAAAAGCAGCTCAAGGTGGAAGTGCAAACGTGCACTGTCTGCCGTCCCGAGGCTGGTGTAATTACCCGGCCACCCTGAGGAGATGAAGGTGCTCCCTGCCTCCGGCCTCGCTCTCCTCCTCACGGCTTTGAACTTCTCCACTGCTGCTCCCTCCCTATTTGCAGCCACCCCCAGGACCTCCAGGAACAACTACCACCTCGCCCAGGTTTGTGAATCTTTGCAGAATTCCCTCTTCCTTCTCTTCCCCCGGAAAACTAAAAGGGTATAATAAGAAAATAAGAAAAAAAATCTGTTATTGTTTTAAAATCATCTTATAAGTCCATTGACATCTAATAGGTACTATCTCCTGGGCAACTAAGACGGACATCTGTGCACACAGGTGTACATGGTGCATGACTAAATGAATAAATGAGTAATTATTTACCTAGGGATCTTGCTTCTTAGAGAATTTGAGGTGGCTTGCAGAAATATATGCAATACAAATAGACCAAAGAAGTATTTGAGGAATAATGTAGAGGAAAATAAAGGCAGAAAAATGAAAATTGAGGTGTAAGATTGGCCCTTAGTGCTAAGCTTCCTGGCAGCCCGCTTGTATTCAGGGAAAACTTGCTCAAAATCTAAAGTGAGCCAAGTTTTTCCTGGGTGCCTACCTGCTTCTCATTTGAGAGCCTTCCCTCTCTAAAGCGTATTCCCCAAGCAACTTATTTACTTACATTTTCTGTAATTCCCTTTTTAAAATCTCTCCCAAATGACTGTTAGAAGGGGACTGATACAATTATTCATATTAGGATTTTTGCAAAGGCTACTCAAAGTGATTCAAAGTGATTCAATGTGCAGGGTGGACTAAAGTAGGTTTACAGTTGTTCGTATAGAAAAAGGCATCCAGGTTATGGTTATTATAATAGCTTTTTAACTCAAAAGAATGTTACAACGCAACTGTAAACCTACTTTTGCCCACCCCCGTATTTTGGCTTCTAAGTGTTTTTTGCATTTAATAGGAAGGTGGCAATCTTTAACCTGAAAGAGCAAGTCTCCAATGATGGAACTTCCAACGTTAATGAAAGGTGTGTGGATGAGATGTTTTTGCACCAGGGCCTCTCTTTTAAGAGTCTGGCAAAGTGGTAGCACATCTGTGACTAGCATCCGTGCCTCGGGCGCTTTCCAACCCTCCAGGCTACGCCTGTGTCAGCTTCCGAAGCTATGCTGCAGAGCTGATTTTCACTTCCATAGACCTCAGCTTGTCCCTACCAACTATTTACACCGCTCGTCCATTCCAGTTGGTCAGTCCCCTGCCACACCCGTCATGAAACATTTTGAATATCCATGAGCCCCTCACTTAAACTGTAGAGTGAACTCCAAGTACAGGCCTGTTGAATTAAACTTCCTTTGACTTGAGCCCACTTTTAGATGAATTAAATTCAAAATAACATATCTCAAATACTGGGGTCTATCTTACATTGTATTTCACTGGTGCCACCAGTTTTGCCCCACCCAGCCTCATGCTGCTCTGGTTCAGAAACTACGGAGGCGTTGTGACCTCCAGGAGGAGCGTCGTGCTGTGGCCAGAGCTGACCTGAGTGGAGGAAGACCATGACTCTAGAGCAGGTTCAGACAAACTGTGGTCGTCGGAAATACCAGCCACGCCTATTCGCTTACATATCATATATTACTCTTTTGTGCCACAGTGAAGTATGGCAAAACCAAAAATATTAACTTTCAGCCCTTTCCAGAAAAAATTAACTGACCCCTGAGCAGGCTGCACAGGAAGAAGGCTAGAAAGTTTTGGGGAAAGCTATCCTTTCGGGAGCATTTGGAAAGAATTCAGTGGCCTTGGAGTGTTGGGGATCTCTAGTGATCCCTTACTTCTTTCTTTTTCTCCAAAATAAGTCAGCTCTCGCCAGTTTTCCTTACCACACACCCTCAGAAAGACCTTCGACCAAGGACCAAGAAAACCTGTCAACACCTTGCCACTTGGCAAACGGCACCTTCTCCCTGCCACAGCCCCAGTCATCAGCTCTGGGCAAAAACAGGTATCACTTTAGTAGACTAGAATGATCTGGGCAAACCTCTAACGTGGGTCCCAGTGACTAAGAAAATTAATGTCCCACCTTCTAGTGTATAGAATCATATAACAATTTTGGCAGCCTTAAAATACAACACATAAAACAGCATGAAAACAGGCAGTGTAAGTTCATTTATTCAACAATTATTTATTAACTGCTTACTGTGTGCTCTGTGCTATGTGCCAGAGGGGGTGGGAAGGTGCTGGGAGGAGATAAACAACAAGTCAATCGACAAATGTCCTAGATTATTTCAGAAAGTGATAAGTGATATTGGGAGGGAAAAAATTTAACCAGATGTCCAGGAGTGACTGGGACAGTGGGAGGCATTTTCACCTGGGTAGTCCAGGAAGGCTTCCCTGAGGAAGTGACTTTTGAGATGAACCTGAACTACATGAAAGATCCAGTCACATGAAGGTCTAGAGACAGAGCTGTCCAGGCGGAGCAAACAGCACGTGCTTGCAGCAGCCTGGGGGCGAAGGAGCGTCAGGCTAGGGCGACAGGAGCGGAGAGCCCACAGGAAGAGGGTGGCCGAGTCCCCGAGACACGCAAGGCCAGCAGGTCACCCGGGGCCTGGCGCCCCAGTCAGGGTAAGCAGCTTCCCCGCTCTCTTCCTTCCATTTGATCCCTCACTAAGAGAGAACAAATGGTTTCTTGTGCCTGGAAACACGGCCCAGGCAACATTTCCAAACCCCATGCGCTTCGTCTCAAGCCCACAAACAACAACCTGCACTTGAAAAGACGAGCAGCTTTTCAGTTGATTTATTTAGTGTCCACTCATACTTTTTAAATTCTGACTTGCTGATGAGCGTAAAGGCTTCAAAAATGATGGAAAACGAAATGCCTCCTTAGTCTTAATCCAGGCTTTCATTCTATTTTATGTTTGCTTTTTAAAGACTACTGATATCAATACAACAGTTACAGCAGGTTGTTAAATTGTCCTTAAAATAATATAAAATTTTATTATCACATTATTATGAATTCATAATTAAAGAAAATAAAAAATAAAAACCTTCCAAATATGAATTGTTAAATTCGGGTGTCTTTCCTACCATTTTACTTTCTGTGCATAAAGATATTTTTAATCGTTATTATATTTGGTTCCTACCTTTCTCAGTGATTATTATCTCACAAAAAATTTTTACTTTTATACTATTTTCATGAGCGTCATTTTGAAGAGTTACAAATATTCTAGAATATGGGGGTGGGCAAAAGTAGGTTTACAGTTGTGAGTATGCAAAACACAGAGTTAATAAAGCTATTGTAATAATCATAACCTGCATGTCTTTTTCCATATGAACAACTTAAACCTACTTTTGCTCACCCTCTGTATAAGTGAGCTTTAATTTAATGATTTCTTTTGTTGGACACATAAATTATTTCCGCATGAATGATGTTTCTGTGAACATCTCTGTGCATCAGACTAAGCTAAAGGATTCCTTTTTCAGTATAGATTTCCAGAAGTGGAATTAATGACTAAAAGAGTATCCGTTTTAAAGTCTTTTGGTACATATAAAAGCATTTTTCACAGTGAGGATCTCATTAGATCCTCACACTGCTGTGGTCCTTAGGACAGATACCAACCCCATTTTATAGATGGAAAAGCTGAAATCAAAAGAGTTTAAAGGGATTTCCCCACACCTCTTAAAACCTAGGGTTTATCACACAGCATCCAAAGTTCTCAAACATCCTTTCTGTGACTTGGCCAAAGTAGAAAGAGATGTTGAAGAAACTGTATGTTAAACTCCGCCTTGTGTTGAAGTATACTTAGCTCTGAGCTTTAAACTCTTAATTCTCAGGAAGGGCACTAGGAAAGTGCAGTAAATGGGGACTTAGGAGGAGGCATGGGCCCCTGGCTGGCCGGGACAGACCCTCCAGGACTCCATTGTTTTTATCTATCAGATGTTGAAAGAGAAGTGGAGAGAGGACCACCTGAACCCTAAAACCCTGTGATTTTAACAATGAGGGAGTGGGAAGGGAGGGGGGCAAATGGGACAATTCTGATGAGTGCTGAAATCTTCGACCCAGTGTCACAATCAGATGCTGAGTCAACAGCACATGGAGTATTAGAATTAACACACCCGCAATTCTCAGTGCACATCGCTTAGCCTAATTGAACATTTGGCCCTGAAAGATATGCCAGCACCTTGTCAATAACCTTGGCCAGAAAGTTCCCAGAAAGATTTAGGCTCTCAGGACAGCTGGTGATTCTTCAAAGGAAAACACATAGCGGTACAGGCCTACCTCAAGGAACAAGAAAAATTCCAAATAAACAATCTAACCTTACACCTAAAGGAATTAGAAAAAGAAGAACAAACAAAACCCAAAGTGAACAGAGGGAAGAAAAAAATTAAGGTCAGAGCAGAAATGGAAATTTTAAAAAAAGGAACAATAGAAAAGATCGATGAAACCAAGAGCTGGTTCTTTGAAAAGATAAACCGAATTGACAAACCTGTTAGCCAAACTTATCAAGAAAAAAAAGAGAAAGAGCCCAAATAAATAAAATCATAAATGAAAGAACAACTGATACCACAGAAAGACAAAGAATCATTAAAGAACATTACAAACAATTATAGGCAACAAATTCGACAATCTAAAAAAAAAGATACATTTCTAGAAGCATATAACCTTCCAAGACTGAACCAGGAAAACAGAATAACTAAACAGACCAATTTCTAGCAAAGAAATTGTAGCAGTAATCAAACTCCCAACAAATAAAAGTCCAGGCCCAGACGGATTCAAAGGTGAATGCCACCAAACATTTAAAGAAGAATTAACTCATGCCTATCCTTCTTAAACTACTTCAAAACATCGAAGAGGAAAGAATGCTTCCAAACTCATTCTACGAAGACAGCATTGCCCTGGTAGTACATTACCCGAGGTCTAGTATTACTTCACCTGAATATGTAATACCATGTCTAACAAATCCCCTATTGTTAGACATTGAGATTGCAGCCAATGTCTTATTATTTACATATATAAATATGTATATATAACATAAAAATAAAAATATACATAATTTATGTAGAACATAAATAAATATATAGTTAATAGGATATATAAATAAATACTATTTATATATAATAAAAATACTTTATATAATGTATAAATATAAAGTTGTATAGGTAATAAAAATGTATATATAAATCTTTAGCTGCTCTTTGTTTATTTTCCTGAAGTAATCTGGGTTAACAGTAGGCTCTGATCTTGCAATTACATGACACCGCCTCACTCACTTCACCTAAGCAGCCATAGAAAGGTGTTTTGAATGCTATATGAGAGGTTTAAGCCTTTATGTGCAAATGAAAACTTTATAATGTATGGTTAACTTTACTTGTCTCAAGGGACAAAAGCCTGTCCCAGGAAACTTGCCCATGGAAACGAGTTCAACCCCACATACTAAACACAACTAAACTGACTTAAAGCCTTAGCAGAGAAACAGATTGAGGGCCTTTGTATAAGATGAGAGGTTGGAATATAAAGCCTCTGAGAGTTCAAAACACTGATGTATAAGGAAAATATACCAATAACTGCTTACCAGAGAAATAGGATAGTCTGTTTTGCACACTGGGTACCCACGTCAAAGACAAATAAATGATTCATGGGGGGAAATGTTCATTTTCCTTCCATTATTTTTCTCTCTTACAATATCTATTCATTACAGGAAAACTATAAAATGCAGGTGGGCACAATGAATAAATAAATAAACTAAAATTGTCACTGCCAAAAGATAATCATCAATAATTTGGCACACTGTATATCTTTCTAAGCTTTATCTATGCAAATATACCTAATTTTTTCCATAATAGAAATATACTCTACACACTATTTTTCGTGTCCAGAAAATATGACCTGAGCGTGAGTGCTCCCCAGAGACTGCGCTGTAGATGAGTCAGCCTGCGTCTCCATTTCAGGCATACCTTGACAAGTATTACACCAAGAAAGGAGGGCCCCAGCTTGGTGACATGGTTGCTCGAGGAAGCAATTCCATGGTGAAGAAGATTAAGGAGCTGCAAGCCTTCTTTGGCCTCCAAGTCACGGGGAAGCTAGACCGGTCCACAATGGAGGTGATCAAGAGGCCTCGCTGCGGGGTTCCGGACGTGGCCAACTACCGCCTCTTCCCAGGTGAACCCAAATGGAAAAAAAATACTTTGACATACAGGTAATGAGATCTGAGTCTTTCCAGATTCAGAGAGAAACACCCCCCCCTCTCTTTCCTTTTCTTTAAAAAAAAAAATCTTCCTTCTGATCTGTATAAATATCATGACTCATCGCAGCCACGAGAAAGAATAAGAACTTTCAGGGCCAATTTTCAGGTAATGACAATGGAGAATTCACTAGAAAATATGATCTCAGGATTATTGCAATGGCCGCCTTGGGTATTACAATTTTACCAGTAAGAGACAACACATGTATCTTTAAAGAAAAATAAAATAGCGTTAATAAACTGACGGTATCAACCAGTATTCTTAAGACAACCTGTTCAATCCGAAGAGTATGATAAAACTCACCTATCGAGAAATTGATTGTTTTCATGGATTTAAAAAGTCATTTATTGATGACGTATTAAGTACCTACTATAGGCATTCAGTTTTGGAGATAATGAATGTATACTTTACCCACCGGCCCTTAGCCCCAGGCTCCCCCTCCTCCCACCTGAGGTCCCCCCTCCACCTCCACACTCACTGGTCAACCTCTGGCCTCCTCCTACCAGGAGCAAGGACCCTGTGTAGTCGGAGGTGACGTGCCCAACCAGAACCCACTTCCTCTGGGTGCTCTAGGCCATCCCGTAGGAGGCCCTTCCCAGCAGCCTGGTCCCCCTGGGGGCCAGCGGAGGCCTCCCTTGCCACTGGGAGGGACCGTCCGCCTGAGGGTGGGGTTGGAAGCAGGCAGTCCCGGGGGCCTCCTGCCTTCCACACAGAAGCGGCCTTGGAAAAGAAGTGCAGCCCTCATTTGTTTTTTGTGTTTTTTTGCCCCAGGCCTGCAAAAGTAGGGGTTTTCCAGGTAGAAAAGCAGACCCAGCAAATAGCCGCAGGGAGTGGACTGGCCTGGTGTGCGGGGTGGCAGGGCCACCGGCGGTGCAGGCGGTGGGGTGAAGGGGGCAGGAAGGGCAATGGTGGGAAGTGAGCAGCCTGGGGAGCAGCTAGAACATGAGGCTGAGCAGTTTGGACTTTAATCCCAGGGCATCCGAGAGCCAGATGGGGGTCAAGATCAGATCTCACTGTTTGGATGAGCACATCTGGTCTATATCTGGGCATGGAGAAAGGCTGGACTGTTAATATAGTCCCAGCAGTGCTGGGCTGGACCCGGCTACTAGTAGCTCGCAAGAGCCAATCCTTACATTTCCTGCAATTTTGTAGCCAGTTGTTAAGTTTCCAAGAATTTTGTGATCTGGTTGCTGAACAAAAACCATTATTAAAAATTAAATTGCATGAGCTTACAATTAAATAAATTATATTAAAAACAAAGGTAATCAAAGCATTGCTTTTTAATTATTATACTACATTTATGTTGATGAAGTCATTGACATCTATTCATTTGTATGGTGAAAATGATGTGCCCTTGCTCAGTTCTTCCCAACTTTGGTTCCACGGCGGCTAGTTGGTAGCTTGAAATTAGCCATAATGAGAGTATTTACAATATGAAAATCTGCAAACCCTACAAATCAAGAATTCTTGTCACAGAGCCAGTTGTTAAACTGTACCAGCACCCAGGTTAGTCTCTGTGAACAAATGAGGGCCCAAAAGAGGCCACTTGTTAGCTGCTATGAGCTTATGAGTCCATAAGGTGGAGCTCTGAACACAATTATTAGTTGGTTTCAGCTTAAGAATCATGCAAAAATCAAACCATTTGTCTCTGTTTGGAAAACAATCCAAAAGAAGGTGAACACACAGTGATTACGAGATGATTAAGAGTAAGCTAGGAAACGTTTATATAAACCCGGGCAATCTCTTCCATCATTTTCTTAAAATAAACTGTATCATAGAATTTTAGCCTGTGGATGTGCACAGCAAAAACAAGGGGCATAGATCAGGATGATTTGAAACTTGGAGAAAAGTAATATTCTTGTGATACGTTGGGCAGCCCCCAAATGGCCTCATGCACTCTCACTGCCCATCCACTCTTGCTCCTGAACAACTCCCCTGCCCCCTCATGAGAGGCCCAGTACTCTGTCTATATAGTTGCTGGATTCCAGAATAACTTTTTATAACAGAGTTGATTTAAAAAGGCAAAATATATCATAGTGCTTATGGGTACAAGCTTTGAAGTCAGATAGAACTGGGCTAAATCCTGACATCATAAAATGTACATTATTATTATTAACTCTTACGGTGTTGTGAGGATTGGATGGCATAGCACGTTAAAAGGGCTTAGAACAGCGTCTAGCCCTTAGTACTTGTTCAAAGAATATTAGCTACTGTCACTGTTGCTTATTAATCTCTAGACCTTGGGTCAGGACTTTTCTTGTCTCTTCTGGTGCCCTTGGCTGATTTGTCTATGAAGTGAGGGAATTTCAAGGTACCAACTACACAGAAAGTGAAAAATCACAGATTCTTGTTATGCAGTGGGCTTGGCATATTTTGAAAGCACTAAATTGTCTCTTTAAGGGTCCTTCTGGTTTCCCCCTTCAACATGCAGTTCTTGGCCCCAACCCCTGTAGTCAAAGATCTTTTCCTTTCCTTTCCTTTCCACTGCTGAGTTGAGCTACTTACCATTCCCCTCTGTGAGACACGATCCCTTCCTTTGGGCCCCCAGGATTACCTCCATTGGTTTCTCGCTGATATTGTACCACTTGCATCAGAATAACCTAGAACACTTGCAAATGCAGATTTCTGGATCACACCTGTATATTTAAAAATCTCCCTAGGTAGTTACCATGGATCCTAAAATTTGAGAACTATGAGTAGGCCCTAAAAACTACTAGCTTTTATTCATTAATTCATCTGTTTATCAAGTATATTTGCTAGATGCTTACTATGTGGCAGGCACTGGACTAGGAGCTGGAGAAAGAGAGAAAGCTCAGCCCTGCTCTCAAGGTTGGCTCCTACAGACCCAGCTTCTCACTCTGCATCCGTTATTCCATCCCAACCGAAGGCCCCAAGTGGAAGGCCCTCTCTCCAGCCCTTCCTTCGCATGCCAGGACACCACCCCCCAGGCTACAGGACAACGTGTGTTAGTGAACCAGCAACTCTCTCTCTACAACTGTTTGCCCCACCCCCCAAAAAAACCCCACACTTTTCTGCCTGCAGATGTCACTATCACACCAGGACTTGATGAAAGACAAGCTTTTTCAGTTCCAGTGAGCACTTCCTCTTTTAAAATGCATTATTTTAAGAAAAAAATATTACCCCCATGGCCCTGGGGAAATCCTGATGGCTTTTGAATAAGAGTTTGCATAACTTCTAAATTCCACATTTTGATTTCTTACAATTGAAAAATGTTCAACCCCTTATGGGGAAAAGAAATCTCTTCTCATCTAAAAGCCCATTAGGGAAGACAGACTTCTTGGTACTTGTAAAGTTACACAAGGCACTCTCCAAAATTAGCGATGACATCAGAATAGTGAACGCCAGCTCTTTCAGCACCAGGTTATGTCAGCCCTTTCACTTCATTTCTCTTTCTCATTGTTTAATGTGTGTCAGTAATTTAACAAATATGAAAGCAAAATAAGAATTATTGATTGAAGGGGAAAATCTACATTGTAAATTCATGTTCAATATTCAAAATTTTTAATAACAAACAATATAATTCTTGGCCTTGTCACTTAGGAGCATTTACTAAAAGAAAAACTTGTTCCTTTTATTTTCACAGAGTATCCAAATACACATCTTCCATGACTTCCACTGATGTAGACAAGGCAGTAGAGATGGCCTTGCAGGCCTGGAGTAGCGCCGTTCCTCTGAACTTTGTGAGAATAAATTCAGGAGAAGCGGATATCATGATATCTTTTGAAACAGGAGGTACTGTGGTGCTTCTTGGATTTTTGTCTGCTAATCCAGAGGAGAAATGTTCCAATACTTTTCCTTCGACAATATTTAATCAGACTGATCAGCACAGTAGGGTGACGGGCAGAGGCCAAGATCATGGCCAAGTCATGATCTTCATCTGGCCAGAAAATAGAACCAGAGGCGCTCTCAGCATTTCTTGTCATTAGTAGACTGAGCTGCAGAATGGACTCAGTGTAACCAGTTTTTATTGTGGTTTTGCCCCATGAGGGACAGATTCTGTCAGATTTAGCTTTCCCTTTGGTTGGGGGGCCATATGATCTCGTGCATTCCCATAATGATGTTCATTGTTTCATATCTCCTTCCATAGTAGCCAAGAATTTCCCACCTTGAATCCTCACTGAAGGAAATAAATTTTACAGTGGCCCTGACAGTAGGAGAGTGGGGTTGGTCTTGCCCACACTGGCAACGGCTTTGGGAATCTCTAGGCCCGCCTCTAACTTGCCCACTTCTCTGTCCGCCACCCACCCTGGCAAGGCCTGTTGTAGAGGCGTGACTTTGCACAGAGATTGGTGAAGCGCTGAGTACTTTCCAGAGAAATCTTCTCTAGTTAGTAGACAAAGGAAAGCCATGAAATTACTTTCTCTTCTTAGCTTCCTAATAGGCAAGGAAAGCGAGTGCCACTTCCTCTTATCCTCCAAGGATAACATATTTCAAGTTAATTTTGATATGATGTCACTGGGAAAAACCATTCTTAGAAGCTGGGAGAGAGACAGTCAAGCAAGTCCTGGGTATACACCCTTTAGAGATAGCTCATGGTGGGTCCTGTTCCTCCTAGAGGACCAAGGCCACCCCAGTAAATAAAGTAGCAAGACAATGTGGCCCAGAACAGCTTTGGGGGCCATGGAGTTAACATCTTTCACGCTTGCGACCTGTCCCCTAAAACACAGGCTAACTAGGAACCGCACTGCCATTTCACTAGGTGCCTCAGGTCACACAACCTGATTAAACTGCACCGAAGCCTGGGAAATGACACACCAGAACTTGGGGTGGGAGTGGGGTGTTGTGTGGGGGTTTTCTGAGGTTTTACTTTATTTTCATTGTTGACACTATTACAGCTGTCCCCATTTTCCCCCCTTTGCCCACCTCCACCCACCCCGTCCTCACCTTCCCTCTGGCCATCACCACACTGTCAGTGGGTTATGCATATTTGTTGCTTTTTAATAGAGAAGCGTATCCTCACTAAAACCCTGAAAAACTGTGAAACATAGCTTCTGCACCATCGTTCACTTTATTCTTCTGCCTTTTCTATTAAGTCTGTAATGAACTGTTATACAGATAATAAAACAAAAATATGTGAAGTTTTAAAAGTTAGGATTTTATAAACACCTTTATTACTTTCATGAGTTTTACATGTGAAAGTCTATCAAAATTACAGAGCAATTTTTGGCACGTCCTTACACTGTATTGTACTGTATTGCATTGTATTATATTATATTATATATTATATTTATTATATTTATTATATTTATTATATTTATTATGTTTATTGTGTTTATTATGTTTATTATGTTTATTATATTATATTATATTGTATTGTGCTGTACAAACAGAAAGCACACACATGTTCAACTTGCTGTCTTAGCTAAATCAAATGTTAAAAGCTCCTCTCTACCAATGTGTTCACATTTCTATTGGTGGGAGACATGGGCACAATTCACAGTATGCCACATATCAATGAACAGATACCACAATAAAAACAGTAACCGAAGAACATTTTTTATTTTTAAAACTTACTACCTTTGAAATATAACATAGCCCTTTTAATTTCCCAATTGACAGATTACTCATTGACATTGAGCTTCTTGTCATAAAAAAATAAATATTGAAAATCTATTTGTATGAGAAGGGTCAGTGCTATTCAAAAAGTTGTCCATTCCCTGTAATGTTATGTACTCCTCCAAAGTGCTAGAAGGACTAAAAGTTGTTGGCGTTTCTCCCCACTTGTTCAGATCATGGGGATTCCTACCCATTCGATGGGCCTCGCGGGACGCTAGCCCATGCTTTTGCACCTGGAGAAGGCCTGGGAGGAGATACACATTTCGACAATGCCGAGAAGTGGACTATGGGAATGAATGGTATATATGCACAATTCACCATAACCTGGAAAATATTGTACCTTCTTCTGGGCCTCCATCATGAAACCCTGAGGTTCAACGTCCCAGGCCACCCTTTAACTAGGGGGGCTGGCTAGGAAAAACAAGTAAGCCAAAAATCCAAAAGGAACACTGTAAGGGCAAGACCCTCCCTCAGTCGTGCTGTAGACTTGTCTGGCCTCTGGTTCATAGCGTATCATCTCAAGCAGCAGCAATCCCCTCCTCAACACACGGCTCTGTCTCTTCCCCTCCTTAGCATTTGTTGTTTCTTACTTGTACTTGGAAACAGGCTACATCCAGGAATGACCTGAGGGAGTCAGTACTCTCTTGAAAAGTGATGGGGATGGGTATAAATTTCCAGAACATTGCGCGTGTCATCTGGAATTCTTCAGTGCGAGACGTGTGTGGATAAAAAGGAGTAGTTATTAGCAAAGAACTAGTAAAGCATTTGTGACCTAAATCTAGATATTACTGCCACTATTATCATTTTGCCACTATTGACTTTTTTATCAACCTACTGAGCGTCACTAACAATGAACAAAATGGACTGATTACATTTTCGTCTTTCCCCACCCCCACGCCCTTCCGAGCCAAGGGGGAGACTAAAGTAAGCAAAGCTAAGTGCCAGAATAACCTACCAACTTCTGAATAACCCAGTTATGAAAAGAGAAATGAGTTAACTGTGAGGTGGGTGTCAATTCTCCTGTAGAGACAGAAGATACTGAAACTAAAACCCTGTGTTGATGCTGTTTTTTTCTCTCTCTCACATTGTCTAGGTTTCAATTTATTCACCGTTGCTGCTCATGAGTTTGGTCATGCACTGGGCCTGGCCCATTCCACAGACCCTTCGGCACTGATGTACCCAACTTATAAGTACCAGCATCCCTATGGATTTCACCTTCCCAAAGATGACGTGAAAGGGATCCAGGCATTGTACGGTACAATCACTACACTTCTTTGACGACTAACTCTGAAAGTAACAAGCACTTAGACTCCAACTTAGAGAAAATATACTTTGCCAGGAGTTACCTGCAGAGGTAAAGATTAAGCTATGCCCTCTTATGAAGAGCTTCTTTACCGGAGATGAATATTGCTTTCTTCTAAGATGTACAATTAAATTTTACATCTTTCCTCCAGAGCATATTGTTCCCACAATGACCACAGAAAATACAATCATTTGTTTTTTGAGTGTAGGTCAGGATTTATACCTACGGAGAAGATGAATGTATTTTATAGTTTATATCTATGGTGTTTTTACCCATTTTCAGACAAGTAACCTTATTTTTCTAAAAACAGCAACTGTGATGATAACACCTACATCACTCAGTTGCACAGATAGTCTGCAGTTTACAAAAATGTGTCATGAGTCATTTTACACCATCCTCATGACCAGCCTGAGGGTGTGAAGGGTTTTCCACATTTGATAGCTGAGAAAGCAGAGGCTCAAAGACAGTAAGTATCCCAAGATACTCAGAATTATCTCAAGGGTTAACATTCCTTCAGACTTAATAAAGGATTACTAGAAACTCTATATCCAACCTCCTTAACAGAAAGACAAATCCATTAATTCATGAGAAGGAATCTTGATACACTGTTAGACCTTGATACTTTTTCTTTAATGGATAAAAGGCAGGAAATTCTAGAAACTGATTTTCCCTTAAGCCTTGGAGCCAGGTTTTCAGTCTTTACTTGTCCCCAGAAGCGATGGCTCAGGCAGCCCCCACTCATTCCTCTGTCACTGGCAGCTAGTCCCTCAGGAACACAGAGTGGGAGATAAAAATCCCACCAGCAGTTCTCCCAACGAATGGATCCTTGTTTTACAAGAAGATCCACCAGAAGACGCTTCTCTCTCCCCATTTATTATCTTACGTATATGGCAGGGGATGTAGGGGGTGTGTTGGTGAGAATAATAAACCTTGGATCTTAGTGGCTTAGCGCAATGCACAATAAAATGTGTTTCTTGCTCATGCAAAGACCAGTTCAGATAGTATGACTGTTGGGTACCCCTTATCCATGTAGTGACACAAATGTACAGGCCTCATCTCATTTCTATAACCTTTATCTCATGGTGTTTCACTTCTCTCCATGACGGTTCAAATGAGCAGGAAATCATCCTCTACAAGGGAGTTTCTTGGCCTTCGAGTCACTCATATCAGAGATGATGCCTGTAAACAGCAAACACCTTCAGAGCACTTTAGTGCCATAAGAATTCTTGGTCTTCCCTGAGGCTCCTGATAAAACACTATGCACAGTGTAGGACACCCAGCAGTGGCTGAAAATAATATGAAAACATGTAAGAAAGTTATAATCTTATTGAGAACAAAGTATTTCATTATAAAGAAATAATCAGTGGCAACTTCTAAAATACATTTCGAATTTGGAACACCTGTAATTTTCAAAGAAGTTGTCTAATAATAAAATAATAGCTACCATGCTTTGAACATTCACTATGTGCCGAGCACTCTAAGTCCTTGCAGGCATTATCGAATTCTCACAGAAACCTGAGGTAGGTATCATCACTGCACCACCCATTTTACTAACGAGGACACTGAGGCTTTGAGAAGTTAAATTATTTCTCCATTTATCGCACAACTTGGTGACTAGTGAAACTGGCTTCAAACCCAGGTCTGCCTGCCATAGACAGCCAGGCTCTTTGTCACCTTGTCAAATACAGTGAAAGTGGGCCCCTGGAGCAGAAGTGTACCGACTCTCAGTTCCAGTGCCGTTTGACCAACTTGCTTTGAATCCTAGGACCTCGGAAAACATTCCCAGGAAAGCCCACTGTGCCAAATGCCCCCCCTCATAATCCATCCAACCCTGACCTCTGTGACTTCAGCTCATCGTTTGATGCGGTGACAATGCTGGGCAAGGAGCTCCTATTCTTCAAGGACAGGTAAGCCCAGAACGTGCCTAAGACAATGCGCTTGTTCAGAAAGCATGAAGAAAATGGTTTATAAACTTTTTTCACTCAACATCTTATTTTCTCATATCAATGAATTTTAATTTTTATCTTTATTTTATACATGTATACAGGGTGGGGGAAAAGTAGGTTCACAGTTGTGAGTAGGCAAAACACCGTTTATTCCTGTATTATTATTTACTAGTCATTGTATTATTTTTCATAGGAACAACTGTAAACCTACTTTTGCCCCACCCTGTTTACTATTCCAATGAATAGATATATCATTAGTTATTTAACCAAGTCCATACTTATGAACATCTAGATTATTTCTAACTTTTAAAAATTAGGAACAGTTTAAATTAAATCTTTAACAATGGATACGAATCCACTTTTCAAAGGCAATTTAGAGCAGAGCCCCGGAACCCAGGCTTTCGCATCAGGCTAAGTTGGTTTAAATTCTGACCCTGCTTCTTACTGATCAGGTGACCCTTGGAAAGTAATGCACCAAACACATAGTGATCACAATAAATATTTAGGAATGGGAACCAAAAATTATGTACATGGATTGAAACTTAGAGGCTTAGAAACATGAGGTATTTTTTATTATTTCTTTTTATTGATTCTTTTTTATTAAGACATTGACTACTGACTTTTTTATTGACTATTACCCAAAGTAAAGGGAAACAGAATTGGTAGGCATTGGTTCAGGAGTGACTGGCAAGAGGCAGAGCAGGAGGAGCCTGGAACACCGTGCCGAGTAACGTGGGCTTAGGCTAAGCGATGACGTCAGATTTCACGTTGCTCAGACGGGTGCATGTGGTAACCGTCCAGTGACGAAGAAATGAGATGCTAGCGATGGTGTAGCATGAAGCGTGTTCTTTTGGCAAATATCAGTGGCTGTGGTAGGGACAAAGGAGACAGTGAAATTAAAGGTCTTATACCTTTCCATGCAACTATAATTGTTTTCTTTAAAAAGCTATATATATATTAAAATATATATACACACATATATTTTAAACCCTTTATCAAGCTATGAGCTTTAAGCAATTACTACTGACTACTTGAAGTAGACATATCTTTCAACAAAGTTCTTGACTATGAATACCGAGGGTAGTATCAGAATAGAAAGGGAGGCACTGATGCGAGAGACGAGCGGTCAGGAGGGATTGTGAGTGGTCCCCTTCTAGCACTGGATTCGCCACAAACTCGCCATAGACCTTGAACCTGTCCTCTCCCATTTTACAGTGAGGTGCCGTCTGATATGAATCGCGACTTCAGTGTATTCAGTCCTTGCTATCTAAACACTTTGTTACCAAACCCTTGCAATGGCCCTGTGAGGTCTGAGCTATTTTCTTCCTGTAAGACACAGAAAGGATAAGCAACTTGCTGGAGAACACGCTGTAGTGAGGGGTAGGACCAGGACCCACACCCACACTGTCCCAGGGCAGGTCCCAGAGAAAGAATCCCATGACTCTATAGCTCTGATCCCCTACCGGCTGTCACCAAATGTCCCAAAGTGCTTGCTAAGCCTGGACAAAGAACAAAGAATTCTTTCAAGTCCCAGGAACAATGGCAACCTGGGGGCCGTTATGAAAGAGCTCCCAGTCTGTCGCCTCCCACCCACAGGCCTGGAATTCCCCGTCGCGGGCAATCGCCTGTTGACGAGACATTTCAGACTGTGGATGTAATAACCACATTGTTTGTTTCCCAAGCAAGATGGAATGCAGCACCTTTTAAAGTCCCTGTGAGACTGCTACATAGTCTCCACTGTACCTAAAAGTACATCCGTACATTCAGATGTTCTGTTTGGAAAGAAAGAAACTTCAGGTGTAATTAGTTGAAAGTCATATATATTCAATTTATATACAGGGTGTCCCCCCCCCCCCC